AATTCTTTTGTCAGCCAATTTGATGGTATCTGCAGGCACCATCTTACACTGATGTGCTCCAGGGTGTCTTTAGAATGAAACCGATGGGAAATAGCCTGTCAGTATCACCTGGGAAGTGGTGAAACTAAACTGTGACAGCTAGAAAGTGATTCATTCCCATTCTTTTGCTATCAGTTCAGGATCTGAATGAAGGAAGGAAAAAGGGAAAAAGACAGTAGTAATAATAGAAAAGTTAAGTTTCAAAGCCATTGGATTTTTGCCCTTGACCCAAATAGCTCACATACTTACTTATGTGAAATATAAGTTATGTCAATAAAATATGGTGTTTTGATAGAGTGAGAAGTAATCCAGCTTTATTTTGTGGTCTGCACTTCAACTTCTCAACAATACCCAAGTTTTGGCATCTGAATTCTATAATACAATTAGTTTGAAGGACAAAAACCTACAAAAATTACCAGGAAATCATACCGATGTTTAATGCCACATGTGTTTTCATTTGCATCCCTGTTTGGCTGTTTAAAAATGAATGAGAGGGAAATCACTAACTAAAAATCTATGGTTTAGGACAGTTGAAGACAGAACATTACATTTATATGGCTTTTAATTTAGAGAAAGGAAAGACTTCCCTGATGGTCTAGTGGTTAAGACTCTGCGCTTCTAATAGGGGGCGAGGATTTGATCCCTGGGCAGGGAATGAAGATCCCACATGTACAGTGTGGCCATATAAAGCAGTCAAAAGACTATAGTATAGAGCCTCATAATAATGTTATGGAAGTTGAAACTCCAGTACTTTGGCCAGTACTTTGGTGCGAACAGCCGACTCATTGGAAAAGACCCTGATGCTGGGAAAGATGGAAGGCAGAAGGAGAAGAGGGTGGCAGAGGATGAGATGGTTAGATATCATCACTGATTCAATGGACATGAACTTGGGAAAATTCAGAGATAGTGAGGGACAGGGAGGCCTGGTGTGCTGCAGTTATTGGGGTCGCAAAGAGTTGGACATGACTTAGCGACTGAACAACAACAAAAGCAATACTATAAGAAATTAGGGTAATTAGTGTTTTTAAATTGAGGCAAGCAAAACACGCAGTGGCTTTGTTATATACCACCAACACAGTGGGCAGTAGCATGGCTAGGATGGGGTGGATACAATGCTAGAGGTAGACAAAGTGTCATCCGAGAACCCTGGGGGTGTCCAAGACTCCTGCCATTCCACCAGGTCAAACCTACTTTTATAATAATAACAAAATGTTATTTTCCTTTTTTTTAAATGCTCATCTCTCAAAGAGAGTACTATGCCATTTTATATTAGGGACTTGAGCATCCTTGGATTTTGCTATCTGCAGAGGTCTTAAAACCCATCCCTGTGGATTCCAAGGATAACTCTATACAGAAGAGTTTAACAGAGGCTACATAATGTATTACAGTATCATTGTTCTCATGTCCAGCGGACTATATGCTAGTGAGCTATCTTGTGTTTTAAAAATTTCTGTTTTAATTCCTAAGATGATACATACAGATAGATATAACCCACATAAACACAAGAGATTCAAGAGTTTAAAAGCATTCTAAGGCAAAAAAGAAAATTTGAAAACTGTTGTTTGAGATGGATTGCTAAGCTTAGTAGAAGTGTGGTTTCATTTAATGCCAAGAACACCTCTAGCAGGCAGGTTCTGTTATCACCCTTATTGAGCATATGAAGTAACAAAGGCCTGGAAAGGTTAATGTGCAGAAGGTCACATAAGTAGTAAGGTGCGAAGTCTGAATGTGATCCCAAGTTTCTAATACTTAATTCTTCTGCTGACTGTGCCACCACGCACGATGTGCCTCTCAGAGAAACACCAGGTATGGAATGGCCTATATTTGATACTAATTTTTCAGAAGAAGAACTAACTTTTAAGAACCTTGGTGCTCCTGGATTCTTGGGCTCCAGAATATAGAAAGAAAGAGTCTCCTTGTGGACAGCATAGAGCAGAGACCACATTTCTGTTGAGTCCAACCAACAAGTGTGTTTGATTTGTCCTGTACAGTATGAAAAATCAAACAATTAGGTGTCATTTTCATAATCTGGGAGTTTTCATTGAAAAAACAAGTTCAGGTTGCAGGCTAAACTGAAAAATGGGAAAAAAATGTAACTCAACTGGAATGGTATTCCCACAGGGCCACAGTCAGTTACAGATTATGTCAGCTGTTTTTCTGTTTTTTGTTTTTTTTTTTACATGAAGCGCGTGTGCTCTAGTTTGCTACAGACCTCACCAGTCCTGTGAGGTCTGTGTATAACCCCACAGATCATGACCTCTTTATGTTACCTGTTTAGGTGTTGGATTGGTGATGTCTGGGGATGTTCTGTCTTCTCCATAATGTTTATAGCTAGTCTGTTCTTAACTTAAAAAGACACTGACAGTAAAAGGGAAACAATACTGAGCACCCACTCTGAGCACCCCAACCTGGTTATAGTAAAGACCTTACTGACAGTGCTGAAAGACAACAAGTTGCCTTTTTCCTTACTAAAGCCTGAAATTCTGATTCATTTAAAGAATAAGGATCTGCCAGTGAATTAACATTTATTTTTAAATGTGCAGCCGTTTCTTTTTTAAGTGTAATAGTGAAATAAGCACATTACACCCATTGCCCTCATTTTATGTTTATTTTAGTAATGTCTATTGTCCTCATCATTATCATGTCTGGACCCTTTATGAAACTTAAAACGTTTCTGTGCACGTTAGATCAGTCATTTGAAACAACTTGAGATTGTCAACTAAAGGACTTTATTAGCCTGGGCATTTGGACAAAATTATTGAATTTCAAATTCTTGTACTTAAAAGTATCTCACCATTTCAGCAAGTGCCTATCAGCTATTATCACAATTTTAAATATATATATCTGTTTGTGTTTTTCGTCCTTTGCTTCACCCCAGATTCTCAGTGTCATAAAGCTGACAATTATATCTACTTGCTCATAATGTTCATTCTTTGCCTGGAACAGGATTAGCACATAATAACATTAAATAATGGAATGAATAAATGAGCAAATATACAAACACACCGGTTGTGTATATGATAAATGTTATTCTTCTCTAGCACCAATAATTACATTAAAAGATTTTCAGTGAAAATTGTTATGCTTCCTAATTTGAGGACTAAATTGGGGAGATGTGTTTTTCTTATTTTCCATGTAAATATATATACGAAAGTGCCTCTGTGGATATGTGTATTTTTCCTTTTCTATTTAGAATAGCTCCCCCTTTTCCTGATGCAAGATCAGGAGGAAATTTATTTATCTATCCAGCTAAGCATAAGATGCACCTTGAGACCTGGATGCAAGGTGAGACTGCTAAACTTGAAAGTTCATCAGGGACTCCCACATAATAAATGCCAGTCTTTCCGTGTTTGGAAGGGGCCGAATTACTCAACCATTAGAAAAGTCTCTGTGTAGCTTTTAGGCCGTGTTCTCCAAAGAGGGCATCTAGCTCTTAACCTATTGCTGAAAGAGAAATAGCATTGTCTATTAATACTACTGGAACTAAAGATGAATAGTGAATTGGCCTTGATCTGACAGCGAGTTTGACTTTGATAGCTCATCCCTTAAAAAAGGTTCTTTTATATTTATGAAAAAAAAGCATGACGTCAAGCTGGGTGGGATGGGGGGTTGATATCAATATTTAAGAGCAAACTCGTAGGGCTTCCAAAAAAAAAAGCCCTTTGTGTGAACTTTTTTTTTTTACATGCATAACTAATTAGCTTAGGTTATTATAAGCAGGGCTGCTGTGATGAAGTTTCCAGTGGTGTCTTGGGACACCTTGTTTGTAGTGCTTTCTCTATGCCAGACTACGAATCGGAATTATAGAGAGTAGAGGGAACGAATAGTCTACTGTTTCTCGTTGGATTGGGGCCACCTAAAACGTGGTTATGCTGGAAATGCTAGAATATAATCACTATCAGGTGAGCTTTATTCTTATATTCAGCCTCTGAAATGTACTTAATAAATCGAGTGTTTCACCTTTTCGTGTTACTGTTGTAGACACACAGTTTTCAGTTGGTACGTGTCTTCCCATTTAATGTTGTTTATTGTTTGATGCCATAAGCAGTGATCCAATGTAGTTGTGAACAGGGTAAATATTAGTAGGATTTTTCCCCCTTGTGTGTGGCTGTATTCTCCCCATGACTCCTACTCATAGCTCGTAAGATTAAATTGTGTTTCTCAAGAAAAAAGTGACTATATTGAGTATCATTGATTTTGTTTAAAAGCTTCATATTCTCTATTAATGTCTTATAAGAAACAAGGTGAAAATATTTGGGTGGCTTAATATACATGCCTTTAAAAACACATCCAAAGGAAAAAAAAAAGAAAAACACATCTATAGAAGTGTTTTCTGTATTTGAAAGAAACTACTTCATGTGGAACTGCTTTTTATGTTGAGTTTAAGGTCTTAATTAAAATGTTGAATACTCATGTCCAAATGAAAGTGGGAGGAATTAATCTGCAATTGGTTGATTTAATCATCAGAATGTTTCTGTTTATGTTCTACAACCGTTTTATAGTTGTTTCTAAAGGAGGTTTTTTTTTTTTTTTTTTTTTAACAAAACAGAAAGCTGTTATATTTGCCAAAGAAAACTGAAATAAGTTATACACCTTCTTCTGGATTATTGTTTTGATCTTAATAAACTCTTTCAGGTGTATTTGAGAAAATTATTACCCTACAGATAGTTGCAGATTTTTAGCTATTACGCATGAGAAGAAAGGCACAAGATTTTAAAGAGATGGACCGTTAATTAGCAGGGAAATGAAACCAGGCAGAGTATTAACCCAAATCCGAAGAGTTAGCCTTTAAACTTCAATAATAGCAAAATCCATCAGCACAGTGCCTGGTACCTAATAGGGGCTTAATAATCTATTCTGTTGGCGGACTGGCCTGTCTCATGTTTGTGCCTGAAAAGAAGAGCTGTCCAAAACTCACCAATAACAACACTTTCTTCTCTTCCCTCCGTGGCTATGTTCAGGTGCAGACCCACCTCGAAAACCCCACCAAGTACCACATACAGCAAGCCCAAAGGCAGCAGGTAAAGCAGTACCTTTCTACCACTTTAGCAAATAAACATGCCAACCAAGTCCTGAGCTTGCCATGTCCAAACCAGCCTGGCGACCATGTCATGCCACCAGTGCCGGGGAGCAGCGCACCCAACAGCCCCATGGCTATGCTTACACTTAACTCCAACTGTGAAAAAGAGGTAATTCATGTCTCCTCCCCTCTCCTTTTTCTTACACTGAATGACTGTCTGTTGGATCTCCCTCCTGCACTTGACTGTGGACTCTAGTCTGTCCGCGTGGCCACCTTCACCGGCCTTTGTCCCAGACTCCCCATGCTGGCTGTCATCCCCCAGCCTCTCCTCCCCGTCACTGTAACTGGCTTATTGGGTTATGGCTCCGGGCAGGGGACTTGGCCCCCTCGGAGCAGAACCCGGAGGTGAGGACCCTTTGCCTCCTATCCCGTTTCTGCTTGTTAGCTGAGTGTTCTCTTCCATGCCTTTCCATTTACAAAGCATTGAAAATGCAGGGAGAGAAGGGAAGGTGGAAAAGGGACAGTAAAAATAGAAAAGGTGTCGGACAGGCAGTTTAGAAGTTCCGCTTGCTGTGAATGTCTAGAATATTATTTTTATTTCTCCCTGAGCTGGAAAGGAAAAACAAAAAAAAGCACAGAGTGTGCATGGCTGGATTGGAAGAATATAGTACATGAGAATCTACCAGAGAAGCAAAGATTTCCTTGCTGGGTGAATTCGGTTTCCTTAATAAATTGCTGCTGCTGGTGAAAGCTGCTTTTTATAAAGGCTGGGTTGGAGACAAGACTCAAACATACCTCAAAGCTAATTGTGGCACCAAAATTTGAAGTGTACCTAAAAGGCAAGTTGTGACTTAATGCCTGTTATTTCCAAATTATGAGATGATGAACATCATTTTAATGGAGTTTGACTGTCCTCTGAAATGTTCATGTGACTTCAGAGGTAACCCTTCTAAAGTTTGGTTGATTTTAATTTCTAGAGGGACTAAGTCTTCTCCCTTTTGCCCAAACCAACCATCTTATTTTTCTCTGTTCTTGCTTGTCATCTGTCAAACTGATTTGATGGAAGTTCTTCCTTCCTTATTTCATTTCTTGGTCACATTCCACTTTACTGGAGAGCTTAGTTCATCTTGTTGCTACGCCATCAACCTCGTGTGAATATGTCACTGAACAGTCATTTGCAAATCCAAGTCATGGGCTGATTTTGCTTATGTTTTTGCAGGGATTTTATAAGTTCGAAGAGCAAAACAGGGCGGAGAGCGAATGCCCAAGTATGAACACACATTCACGAGCATCGTGCATGCAGGTACTGAATGACTCGGCAGCCCAAGGATATAACACTTTGTGATGAGGATCTATATTTGTGGCTAATCACACCTTCCTAATGACTTTGGATTTTTGCACCCCCCCCCATTGATCTTTTTTTTTTTTCAATTGAGAAAGCTATGAACAGTGCTGTTTTCTTCATTATGTCTCATGATTTAAAAACTACTAGGGAAATGATACTAAAATGTATTTTCTCCTGAGTTGCTGTAAGGTGTTAAACAGTGCTTAAAATACATAAATTTTAATAAATAAAATGTAAACTGCTGTACTTCATTTAGATACCATCATCAAAGTATGTTATACAAATTTATGGGTTAGCAACTTGGCCAGAATATCTGTAAAACCAAGATGTGTGTATGTGTGAGATCTACATAGTTTTACAAAATGAAATCTCATAGAAAATATATTTGGAAACTTTATTTATTCATTTAATGATAATTCATGAATATTTTCCCAAGCAATGAAAAGTTCTTCTGTGACATCCTGTTTAATGGATATATAAATTGTTGCATCCGTATATTAATTATATTTGTATATTTTAAATGTGTGCATGGATATATAAGAGGAAGAATTTTTTTTTTGCTTTTTATCAACATGTATGACTCTTTTCATAAGAGAACAAATTATTTTAAAAATTCTTTATATCCATATATTAATTATATTTGTATATTTTAAATGTGTGCATGGATATATAAGAGGAAGAATTTTTTTTTTTTGCTTTTTATCAACATGTATGACTCTTTTCATAAGAGAACAAATTATTTAAAAAATTCTCTCACACCAAAGCCACTAATTTCCTTTCCCCCCCTGAAAAAAAAAAAAGATTGAACATTTACAAAGAAAGATTGCTCATAAGTCTTCCGGCCCATTTTCCAGTTTACCAATTCACTTGGAAAGTCATTTCTTAAACAGGACATACAGTTGGTGTACCTGGAAAGGAAACAGTACTGGCAGTTACTCAAAACTGACCTCCGTTTATTCTTCTCTGGAGTCGCTCAGTGACACTCATTTTTTGAATGTATGCTGTATTCGTGGCACTGTGAGCACTTCATTTGGTTTCTCCTGAAATCTCATAAGAATCCAATAAGGGCATGAGTATTATTAACCCCATTTTACAGATTGGCACACTGTGACTCTTAGAGATTAGGGGCAGTGATCCAAACCAGAAAGCGGGAGAGCCAGGGTTCTGAGAAGCCCCATGATGTTGAAGCCTGTCTTCTTTAACTATGGCAAAAAGGCACACAGGAGCATCCCTCTGAGTTCTGGGATTTCACTGTGTACTTGTGAAGCACTATTAAGACCCAAGCAGATGTTTGCATGCGCGCACACGTGTGCACACACACATACACACACAATACACACACACCAAGTAGGTCAAATACATAAGATGTTTATGAAGAAATGTTTTCACAGACTAGTCTTTGAACCTGCTGCAATGCACGTGTAATCACTGTTGTTTATTATCGTGACTGATGTTTTGGTACTTCAGAAATAAAATTGATCTAGAGGGAACGTCAGCTCCGCGACTGTAATGATAACCTTGTCCTGTTGCTCTCCTCCGGGAGCGCCAAGCTCACTGGCAGGCATACAAGGAGAGACTTAGCTTACGAGTCGTTGTAAGATTAGTGCAGGGCTAACCAGTGGCCTGGGAGCCACAGTGTCCCCCACACCCCTATGGGAACAAAAGGTTGAATAGCCATCTGTGGGTTTTTTTTACTCCAAGGAAGGTGTGGAAAATGTATTGGATATAAATTTAGATGAGAAAAGGAAAAGGCAGCTATCATTCAAGATGAAGTTTCCTGGTTCCTCTCTCCTGTTTAGGGCAGGCAGTTTTACACAACAGTTGAAAGCATAGTCCAAACTGTGGCTCTAACCCTTCTTCGACGTGTGACTTTGGGCAAGCTGCTTCTCATGTATCTCACCTGAAAAGTTGCTGTAATAACAGCACCTACTCTGGTAGGGTTATTGTCAGGGTAGATCATTTAGTCCGTAAAAAGCCCCGAGCGCAGTGGCTGGCACCTAGTAATCACTCAGTATGTGCCGGTTGCATGTATCATCCTCCTCATCGCCCGTTAGCATTAATGGTCTTCAATAATGTACTCCTTTGGAGAGGAGGAAGACAGTTATCTCTTACACGCTAACTAAAGTGTGTTACTTCTTTAGATTAGGAAAGACTGTGGATCTCTCTTTGAATTGCTTTGCACAGTTTTTGCTTATATCTGTCTCTCTTCCATTGCCTTTTTCCCTCAGATGGATGATGTAATTGATGACATCATTAGCCTAGAGTCAAGTTATAATGAAGAAATCCTGGGCTTGATGGATCCCGCCTTGCAAATGGCAAATACGGTATTGGTGATCTTTTTATTTTTCTAAAAGAAAAGCTTGAGAAATTATTCCCAGTACTTTTTCCCTGTTCCTGAATTTTCAGTTTCTCTTTGCAAGTGATTCATTGAGAAGTTAATTCATGAGGCAGAGAAATATCTCAAGATCACAGATAAATGACTCAGACATTAGAAATTCAGAATTTCTCGTGAGTTTATCAGTAACCCCATAATAAAGCTCTACATTCCCTGGAGTCCAAGTTCGCTTTCAATAACATGCTAGGTTTTCTAACTCCCCTTGACATCTGATGCCCAACTTAGTACACTGCTGCCAAGGGAGATACCGTGTGCTATTTTATTTACAGTGGTTTTCTGGTCGGCCTGAAAACACAATGCACTTTTTAAAGGAGATCCTTTACTACTGACAGGTGATTAAGTGACGTTCAGTTTGCCCCTTTTCAATGGCAAATTTATTCCAATTTTAGTTCATTAAGCAGGGGTCATATTTGCTCTTCTCTGTTAAGTATTCCTCTCTGCAGTTGGAGCCTTGCCTGTAGAGTTTATTTTCTTTCACTCCTTCCATTTGTGTCTTACTCGATTCTTGCAGGAATTCCTTGAGTCATGTTGGGATGCTATCATTGCCCTCCGTTTCAGGGTTAGGAAAGGTTAGCTTGTGTTGCCCTAGGTTTGACAGCTTAGATGTGCCAGAGCTGGGACACGGTACATCTTTGAATGCCTAGTCCCATCCTTTTCTGTTTTCTATGCAAGCGATGCCATGAGACTGTCATATTCTTTAGTAATTAGTATGTTTTGGGGGGCATACTATTTTTATTAACATTTAAATTTTACCAAGAGTTCAAGAATATGCTAGCCTTCTGTTCAGATTTTTGAAATGAAAATAAAATGGACAAACAGTTTTAAGGATGCAATATATTTAACACTGCATAATATACTCACCAGCTGGACAATCTAGGGGGTGGTGTAACTCTACACTTAGGAGACAAGACCTGGAATTGGAGGAAGAACCTACCATTCAGGACTAAACAGAGGACTCTGGTTGCTGACAGAATCTCCCCTTGACTTCAGACTTGACACAAACTCACCAAATCTATCAGTATATACAAACCAGTGAGTTCAGGACAGTTACAGGATAGATTGGCCAGAGCTTGTTTGGATTGTGGGAGCCAGTCTGAAGCAAGCAAGATTGGTTGGAGGATGGAAATGTTGCAGTTGAAGTCCAGGATCAGTAGATGAGAGCAGTCATCTTGTAAAAATCACTAATTTCTACACAAGTTCCTAAGATGCTTTTCCTAAACAGGGTAGTAATTGGTTTTTAAAAGATTAACTTCCATGGTGGTAAGAGGGTGAAAGGGAGTTGTTAATGGTTATAGAAATTCAGATTTGCAAGATGAAAAAGTTCCAGAGATGTGCTGCCCAACAATGTGGATATACTTAACACAATTGAACTGTACACTTAATTAAAAATGGTGAATTTTAGATCATATTTTTTTTTAACCACAGAATTTCTTTTAAAGACTAAATTCCAATGATAAATTTCCTTGGCAAGGGAACATGGTAGCTTTTACTTATTTTTACCAAAATCCCTAGAAAACCAATTTTTTATAGTTACATTTTCTTTTTGATCCAGTCCTTTAAGTCAGCTTCTTGAAGTCTTGAGGAGTAAGGACTCCCCTCAAAACCTCTGAGTTTTTTCTCGATTGCTTAGTTTTGTCAATTTACTACCCGTTTAAACTCACCCCCCCCCCCATTTTGAAAGAACTAAATATTATTTCTAACAAATGTTTCCATGCCAAACTCGTCCCACCTTCTGTGAGCCCTGGGTCAGCTTCTGTGGATCCCTCTTGCTTTCAGCTTTATGCATCCCGTGCGGCAGACTGTGCTTGTCAGTAGTCAGAATCCTAGGACGAACAGGAGCAGAAACCTTGGAGGAGCTTGCGCTCAGGAATTTATAATTTTTAAATATACCCATGGGGTCGCTAGGAGTCGGACACGGCTGAGCGACTTCACTTTCACTTTTCACTTTCATGCATCAGAGAAGGAAATGGCAACCCACTCCAGTGTTCTTGCCTGGAGAATCCCAGGGACAGGGGAGCCTGGTGGGCTGCCGTCTATGGGGTCGCACAGAGTCAGACACGACTGAAGCGACTTAGCAGCAGCAGCAGTAGTCCCCTTGCAGCACTAATTAGCAATGGCCAAGTCATTTCAGAAGAACTTTGCTGACAAGGGTGGTAATTTTCCAGTGGCATCAAATGGATACCTGCGCATACTCAGGAGAACTTATAGGATTGACATGATGCTTTTAAATTATTCTTTTTAAAAAAATTTTCCCCAGTGATGAGGACCTCAGATGTCATCTGATCTAACCTAGTACTCACTGCCTTAATTTCCTCTTGCATATCCTTTGTATTCCCCTCCAAAATATCAGGCTTTCAGTTTCTTGAAAGCTTCCAAATCCACACTTATAAGGGAAGCAGTGTAACACAGTGGTTGGGAGTTGAAGATTTACCATCAGACCTGGATTCAAATCCTAAGTCTGCCATTTACAGCCTGACCTTGCACATTACTTAGTTTCTTGAAGTGCTCCACTTCTCTATTTGTAAAATGGAACTGACCACTGTTTCTCCTTGACACGGTTGTCTCCTAAATTATGAATTGTTGTTGTTTAATCATTGAGTCCTTTCCAACTCTTTTGTGACCCCACGGACTGTAGCTCACCAGGCTCCTCTGTCCATGGGATTTCCCAAGCAAGAGTACTGGATTGGGTTGCCGTTTCCTTCTCCAGGGGATCTTCCCAATCTGGGGATCGAACCCGTGTCTCTTGCATTGGCAGGCAGACTCTTTACCACTAGCCCCCCAGGAAACCCTAAATAAAGCATGTACAGCATTTAGCATTGGAAACATAACTTGTACTCAACAATGTCTAAATTATTCTATATAATTTATTATAGTTTAAATAAGTTTGATAGTATTTTATCTGGGTGATATTCACTCAGCACCTGTAATATGCCAACTCTATCTATGTTAGAATAATATCATGCTCAATAATGGAAATATTTCTCATAGTGAGTCTCTCTGAGGATGTGGATCCCAGTTTGCACCGTGGAGAACCTGTCCTTGTGACAACCCTCTGAAGACATAACCTTTAGATTGCATACCGATGTCTCCTTGGTCAGTCTACCCTGGAATAGATATCCTAGTCCGATTGCTCCTGAACTCACTTTAAGATTGATGTAGCCTTTATTAGATGCCTCCTATGTGACCAGTGCCGGGTGAGGTGCTGTGGATGCAGATGACTCGTCTCCTTCCTGGTCTCACTGGGCTTACAAGCTTAGAAAAGGAGACCACTTCAGCCTGTGAACTGGAAAGGAGAATTCAGAAGCAGAGAGACTGTCTCAGGGGAGTTCCCAGATAAGAAGGAATCCCCAGGGCAGACTTTAATGAATTCCCAGTCAAGAGAAGAATAACCTGCAGCACCCTCAGGCGTCACTTACTTTGTCCTGGTCCCCATTTCTCTTCTGTGGTCTCCATATCAGAGCTTTCCCACGATGAACTATTGCGGCATTTTACAACTGGCAGAAAGACACTGTAACACAGAAGTTAGGAACACAGACTCTTAGCCAGACATCTGAATGCAATACATACTCGAGTGAGTTGTTTGTCTTTGCCTCACTTTCCTTCACTGGAAAATGGGAATCATAATAGCACCTAAAACAACAGAACCTATGCCGTCACTAAATGTTAGTTACTAGCTCTTATTCTTGATAAAGTTGGGTATTAGTTGTTAGAATTAAATAGTAGAACTACTGCAACTTACTAACATTTTAATTTTTTCCCCCACAGTGGAGTTTAAACTTAATATTCTTTATGTTGGGCATTTTTTCCTTTTAGTTGATTCTTTGAAATGGTCTATTTCAAGTTAACTGCTTTAAAAAATAAAGTGGAAGGAACACTTAGAGAGGAAACTATCCTAGAGAGGGAACTATCCTAAGGGAATTGGAGTCTAGAAATAACTATTCTGAGAGCACAAGGGCCCTCTTGTACCATCACAAACAAAGAATAAAAGTCCCAGTTTACTTGTGCTTACAGTACTTAATTGATATTCAGAGAAGGGGACCATCCAGGGAGAAAAAAATAATAACATTTTGCAATTATCATTTACTTGGGAAACTATTCATTTTGGTGGAGCAGAACATTGTAGAAGTTGATTCAGACAAAGTTTAGGGAACATATGCACATGTGTCTACCTTCTCTTTATTTGTCCTAGTTGGACTGTGTCTTTTATCTGTCCATTGTATAGCTCGGGCACTGGAAGTGAAATCTTGTCCATCAGGTTAATGTGCTGGATAAAAACCCCGTAAAGACACAATATATTCATGTTAACAGAAGGTGTGCTTCTTCTTCCTTAGCTTTAAAAGTGTTATTTTGACCTAGTAATGAAGTTAACTGTGTTGATGGGGGAATTTTTCAAAATGATAAAGGGAACCACTATGTCTTTTCATAAATTTGCATGGCTAGGAGACTGATTTTTAGTTAGAAATCCATATTATTTTAATCAGCCTCCCTTTGAGTAGCTTTCATAAGTAACGGCTGTTAATATAAAGAGCCTAAGCCATCATTTAGAACAGTCTTTCAACCTTGGTACTGTTGACATTTGGGATGGATAATCCTTTGTTATGGAGACTGTCTTGTCTGTTATAGGATGTTTAGCAGGATCCCTGGCTTCTCCCCGCTGGAGGCCATTCACACCTTGCCATCCCACAGTGACAACTCAGAATGTCTCGAAACAGTGACAAATGTCCCCTGGGAAAAAGGGGCAAAATCACCCCCAATGGAAAAATATTTGGAATATGGAGTGGTCACTTTAGCCGCACACATCCCCTCATTTCTGTGCTTAGATCTGCATTGCAATCCACGGGATGCTTGGCAATTCATATGGCAGATAGTTCTGTTAATCAAAGTGAAAATTAGTTTGACTGCCCAAAAACTGTGACTTCCCTGGTAGCTCAGACAGTAAAGAGGCTGCCAGCAATGCAGGAGACCCGGGTTTGATCCCTGGGTCGGAAAGTTCCCCTGGAGAAAGGAATGGCAATCCACTCCAGTATTCTTGCCTGGAGAATCCCTGTGGACAGGGTTGGATACAACTGAGTGACTGAACAATGAAACAGTTTATCAGTCACTTTAAAAAGCAGGTACTCTGTTTCACTGTGCGTGCGTCTTCAGTCATGTTCAACTCTTTGTGACCCCCGTGGACTGTAACCCGCCAGGCTCCCCTGTCCATGGCATTCTCCAGGCAAGAATACTGGAGTGGGTTGCCTTTCCCTTCTCCAGGGGGTCTTCCCGACCCAGAGATAGAACTCTCATCTCCTGCATTGACAGGCAGATTCTTGATCACTGCACCACCTGTTTCACCCACATTATCTTGTTTACTTTTTACAAACCCCTGTGAGATGGATGATATGACTGCTACTTTTCAGAGAGGGACATCTCACCTCACAGCGTTTAATATCATTTGGCGGGTCAGAGACAGGCAGCTTCTAACCTGAGTCACTGGCTCCTTAGCCCAGGATGTAAATGACTGCACTGTTCATTTGTAAATTTGAGTACCCACAGTTACTCAAATTTGAGTACCCACAGTTAGTGAGCAACTGGGTTTTTATTTGCTCAGTTTCATTTGGAGATTAATTGAAAATTGCAGTTTTTAATTGATTATTATCAGCGGGTTGAGCCTGCCCTCCTCCCAATAATACAATTAACATGCGATGTGAACCTCCTATCAAAAACCTGCACTCAGAGTAACCTTGATGTTCCTTTTTGTAAAGTCAGCATGATAAGTTACACAGAGTGCCTTTTAACCTCTGTGCCTGGCTCAGAGTAGGCACCCACAAAATTAAGTTTTCCTCAGCAAAATATCCCAGCAGGCTCTATGATGCCCACTCCTAACCAGCAAGATTGGAAAAGCTGCCTAAGCGAGAAATCTTTTCAAGAACTCTCCAGAGGGTTATAAGCTGCCTTTTCAACTGGAAGTAATGATGTTTGACCTCAGTGGAGTTGCCCGATAAGGCGTCTTGTTCCAGAGATTTTAATTCATCTCTCTTTTTGGTCAGCCCTGCTGTCCGTCCACACAGTCTTCTCTGTAGTTTTTAACCCCTGCTCAATCCATTTCTTTCTGAGTTCTCGCCACTTTCACCTGACTTGTTCATCCATCTCTCTCTCCCCCAGTCTTGTGTTTGTGTCTCTGTCTTCCTGTTTCCACCTGTCCCCTTGTGTCTTTCTTTGTCTCATCCCAATTTTCAATTCTTTCACCCTCTCTTTCTCTTTTTGTGAGTCTACATTTATTAAGTATATGTACACATAACATCTTCCTTTAGATTGTGGTTATAAAATATATTCTTATCCTGGAGAAGTTTATAATAGAACATATCTGTTCAGTATTGATCCAGTGCTAACTTAGAGGTTTTTTTAAAGTTAGGTGTATTTATCACTTGCCTATTATTTATTCCTAACAAATTATCATAACAACACAGTTGCATGCTTTGCACACAATCTGCACATGTGATCTTTATTTCTCAAGCCATGGAAATAATTGTTTTTAGTTTGTGGCATTGAATCTCAAGTCACATTATTGGTTTATTAATACCCGATAGTTCTTCCCAAATCTGAAATTCCAGAAGGATAGGAAGATAACTTGAGCAAACTCCAGGAGACAGTGGAAGACAGGGAAGCCTGAAGTGCTGCAGTCCATGGGGTCTCAAAGAATCAGACATGACTGAGCAACAACAAAGAAGGAGGAGGTTAAAGCTTTGGAATCTCGAAGTCTTACCAGATGTCATACCAGCTTTATAACTTTTGACTCTCTGACTCTGCAGTGCTATATTGAGACATTTGAGCCTCTTTCACTTTGCTGTATTAAGTTGGACAAGAATAAAACTAAACACTCACAGGGCAAGGCTGACCTGAGAAGATGACCTGTTTCATATAAAACCACTAAGTGAAAAGACAGCTAGTAATCATGGTCGCTTTTTTATCAGTTCCTTAACTCGAGGCCCTTGAAATACGGTTCAAAGGCATTTTACATTATCACATTTTCATATGTTCATATAGTGAGATATGTGTAATCCATTTCATATGCATAATTTAGATGCTGTCTTCACAAAGGAACAGAAGACTGAGTGGAGAAGAGAGATGTGTTCTGCTGATCTCTCTGTTGGAACAGCCCCCAACCCCAATCATACTAGAGCAAGTGTCAAGTTAACCTGTTGGAAAACATCTTCTTCTCTGCAGTCTTCCCCCATCTCTCTAGCTAGGGGTTTAGCTCATAGAGTGTTTATTTAGAAGTCATGACAGGAATAGGATACCTGGTGGGTGCCAATGGAGGAAGCACATTTGATTCTGTCTTTATTTCATGGTATCTTTTAATCTGTATGTTAGTGGTTATTTGAAAGAATCACACATGCTATATTGTGATATAGCCTCTACCAGGTACATCTGCGTTACTGAGTATTTTAATCATACTTAAATGCTATCTACATTTACTTTTCTCAGTAAAAAATTCAGAGTGTATAATCAAGTAAAGGAAGAGCTGAAAGACATAAACTCTCACCTGGTAATGATAGTTTCAGAAATTATTCGAGTTAAGCTGGAAATGGGAAGTTTCTGCCATGGAAGTAGTGAGATCACTTAACTGTTTCCCAACAATTAATACTTAGACCTTTATTTCAGGGATTGGGAAAAAGAAATGTCTTGGATCTCATATGTTTATAAAACTGGGTACATCAAACTCATAGCAGAGAGGTAGTCACAGGGAAATGCATACGTGACAAAGGGAAGTCATTGTTGGGATAAAACAGATTCACTGCTTGAAAAATATTAAATTCAGAACAAGAGACAAACACTCTTAAGCTCGTTTGGAAAGGCTCAGTATTTCTTTTTTTTTTTTTTAAGTGTTAACATTTTGTTCTTTTATGAAAGTCAATGGGCTCCCTCTTGTGGCTTTTTGAAAGATTTCAGTTTCAGGGAAAATACCTTTTTAGTATAATGGTACGGATACCATTTCTTTTCCAATAAGAAGACACTTTTCACTACTTTGCTTTGTAGAGAGAGAGAGGAAGAAAAGGAAGGAAGAAAGTTGACTTTGATGCAAAACCGGACTTGGCTACAAAGCTGTGCCACATAGGACACAACTTATAATAATAATAGCCAGTATTTACTCAACATCTACCATAAGCTACTTGATGCTATAGATAATGAGTTCACCACATTAGCCTTTGTCTTGATGCTCGTGATAAACCTGTCGAGTGGGTTGTATAGTGATGTGATGTGTGTGAGATTCTGCTTCCTTTCCTGACTCTAAGGGAACCCCTAAGGAGACCATATATCTGCGAATGAATGAAATGGTAAACATCTCATTTCCTGTATTAACAAATATTTTTTACATGAAATCATTTCTTTTTTTTAAAATTAGTTTTTCTTGGAGTATAGTTGCTTTACACTGCTGTGTTAGTTTCCGCTGAAAAGCACAGTGAACCAGCTGCACATGTACATCTGTCCACTCCCTTTTGGACTTCCTTTCGACTCAGGTCACCGCAGTGTGTTGAGTAGAGTTCCCTGGGCTAGTCAGCATGATGTTCTCATTAGTTTTCTGTTTTATACCTAGTATCAATGGCGTATATGTGTAAATACAGTCTGGAATAGGATATGGGTTTTAGCTGACTAATTTAGGAATCGTTCAATGATTCATTTCCGTTCCTGTTTTTTTTTCTCTTTCCAGTTACCTGTCTCTGGAAACTTGATTGACCTTTATGGAAATCAAGGCCTGCCACCCCCAGGCCTCACCATCAGTAACTCCTGCCCAGCCAACCTTCCCAACATAAAAAGGGAGCTCACAGGTAAATACTCAGCAAATGTGCCTCTCACTGGAGATTTTCGGTTCGTGTTCTGTTCAGCAAAGTTATCCAAGTCGTGACCTCCAGAACTATTTCCAACTCACACACACATGTTTTTAGGTCTTGCTAAGACTTTGAGCTATGTTTTAGAGTGGAGTATTTATACTTGGAAATCCTGGTTTCCAGTATTACTTGAGATGCTGGGAATCGGCCCCCGCCTTCCTTCATGACTGCCATCATTGTGTCTGTGGCCGCTGTCCCCTTGAGGATGAGAGCAGCAGGCTCCCTGTCTGGATTGTTCCTGGCCCTTAGTAGCATTTGAGTTTCAGAACTCTGGTCTGAATTTTCCTTTGACACACTTTCAGACCCACAGTTGGGACAGACTAAGGCCATATTTCTTACCTCTTAAGATGCTTCCTGTTACTTTTGCTCTATCACGTGCAAAAGATTCACTCACAGATTGAAAAAATAATTTATCAAATGGAGCAGTGGGTATCGTTTGCTCTTGAGGCAAGTGTGAAATTACCTGTTTCGCCATTTTTGTTTAACGCTTTAGGGAAGGCATTTGGCCATTAAAACACGATGAAACTGCATTAGAACTGGCATTCTACCCTGCTGGATTTTATGGCCTTCAGCTCATCTGAACCCTTTGTATTATTTGATCCTTGCATCCTACAGGATTTGGTGAATGGACTGAGACTATGGAATATAGATTTGGTGCAAAAAAATTCCTGTTCTATTCAAGTGTGTCTTTGAAAGAACAAAAACAAAAGTTCAGAAAATTGTGGCAGGAGAAAGACATTAAAAAAAGAGAGACATTGATTTGGTTTTTAAAAAGATGAGTAATAAATACATAAAAACCATCAAAAGCCAACAAACACATAGATATCGTACCAGGAAGTAATAATACAATGAAGTTTTAGAAAACATAGCTAAATGAAACTTGTATTAAATAATGATAAAACGTGGTTAGAGTGACATGCATAAAATTCTTGAGTGTAAAATGGGGTTTTGAATTATGTATATGATTATTTCTTCAGAAAGAAAACCACAGCAGCAGGGGGAAAGAGGATATAAGAAATGGGTGAAGAGGGTGTACATTTATTAAATTTTTTAAAAAGCAGGTATAACAGACAGTACCTCTAGAGTCACTGGTATCTTAGAAAATGACCGATCCAGTCTGGACAATGGTAAAATGACAGGAAAAGGAGTAAAGGGAAAAGAAATGAGGTTCTGAACACTGATAGCTCGGGACGCAGCACGCTAGACACAAAAAAATAGGCTTACGAGTCAGCAAATCGGACCTCCTAATCTGTTATACATTATAATAATGAATTATAATTGGCTATGAATTGTGCCAAAAAGATATCTATTTTTAAACACAATTCTGAATTATGATAGTGTCATGTTTTTATATCACTTCTGAAAGGAAAGTAACAGAGGAGTCCCGAATCCCCAGGATTAGTCAAGCAACCTGATTTGTTTTTCTTTGTTTCGTTTTACTGTAAGGCAGCAAATAATCCTTTATCGCAGAGATCGCACCAGAGTTGCTATGCAAACAGATCAAATGGAGTTGTCACCCAATGCCTCTGTCCCAAATGCCTATTTTTGTTTTTATAAACTCAGACTAGTAAATAGTTGCCCTAGAAGTCATTGAATCATTTCGTTCTAACAGGTTCTGATGGAACCTGGCTCAAAGTTCTTAAATAATGAGTTCATTTCCGTGAACCAGTTAGAGATCCAGTTTAGGAGCTTCTTGCCTCAGTTTCTATCTCAGTGTTAACACATCAAAGAAAGACTGAAAAGTGATGTTGCCTGAAAAGAAAATTTGACTGCTGACAATCCTCTGTTGACAGCAACTTCTCATAATCTCTGGTTGTTTATTTTTTTGTTGTTCATACCTGTCATTCCAGCCTGTCAGACATCTTTGTAACTGATCTTCTACCATTTTGTAGAAGCTAAGTTTTTGCATTTGTTGAATATATATTGCTTTTGGAAAAAAAAACGAAGTCTTTGATTCAAAGTTAAAAAATTTTAAACTCTGTTTTTATTTATAGTTAAGTCAGATAAACATCCATTTGTGTAGACAATGAAATGTTTTTTAGTTTACACCACGGTGTTCCTTGAAAGGTTCTGATTTCTAATGACTTCATTCATGTGCACAACATGTATTTTCCCCACAGAGTCTGAAGCGAGAGCATTGGCCAAAGAGAGACAAAAAAAGGACAATCACAACTTGAGTAAGTTGGTTTTATGTTCATTACATTGGAGTTGATGTTCCTCCTTATATCAAAAGGTTGCCAGGCATTTTGAAGAGAAATTGATTTTGTCTATTAAAGGTATATTTTATGGAAGAAAATTGTTTTTTTGAAGAGACCCAAGTATATAATTTGCCTCCTATTTTAATCTCAGATTAAAGTGAATTATATGCACACACATACACACACTTGTTTTCAGTATCCTGAGGACTGATTTTTTTTCTTTTTTTTGTAAAAGGGAATCTTGATCCCCGACTACCCAATTATAAGTTGCTCACTCTGGAACTTAACTAACAAAAGGGGATTATGGAATCACCTTCTCCAGTGAGATTTAAAAGAAAAAAATGAAACATCTAAAGGAGAGTCATTGAGTGAGGTGTGGTAGCCTTCCAAATTTCTGACTTCAATTGTGATTTAAAAAAAGGTCTTCTTAAATCCATGGCTGATTCATGTCAATGTATGGCAAAACCCACTACAATATTGTAAAGTAATTAGCCTCCAACTAATAAAAATAAATGGGTAAAAATAAAAATTAAAAAAATTAAAAAAAAGGTCTTCTATCTGTAGAAGAATTGCCATTTGTTGTATAACTTTCTATAAGGAAGTGATTTTTAAAAGTCTAACAGTACTGTAAAATAAAAATTTAAAAATGCTTTTTTAATAATTAAGCATTAAAACAGAAAAAATAGAAGTCTTCTAATGTTTAAAATTACTTTCTTACATGCTTACTTTACTCTTGATCATATCTTTATGCTTTTTCCTATGAAAAGTCAAGATTTTTGTTACATAAACAAGTTCAAGAGGCTGCAAAAAAAAAAAAAAGGGTTGAACTTGGAAGTAGAAAATTGTGTCTGTGTGAATTTCTCATCTCAAGATCCCTTGTCCTCTTTTTCCTAAATTGATTTTTAAGGATGAAGTTATGTATAAGCACTTTGTCCATGTAAAAATGATAGGATAAGCTCACAGTTTTTCTCTGAGCCCTAAAAATAATCATTGTTGGGTTGTTTTTTTTTTCAATTTGTTGTTTGTCTTTGCAACCTTTTCCTGTGTATTTAAGAATACACACCCTTATGCACGCAGAGATTGTAATAGAATGATTTTGTCTGTGATTTAACACAAACAGTCTCATATTGATGCCTGGTTTTTTACTCAACAGTGTGTCCTAAAGACCTTTTGCTATTACTCATCTGGATCTATCTACTTTAAAAAAAAAAAATTGTTGCATGGTGTTCCACATGTGACTTGTGATATTTAGTAATCCTCCTACTGCTAAGTGTTAGTTCTGTTTCCAGTTTCTCCCTATTATAAGCAATGCCACAGTGAACATTTGCAGACATGCCTCTCTGTGTACAGCGGAGTTAGTTTTCCAGGGTGGATGCTAGGAAATGGAATTGCTAAGTCCTTAGGGGAAGGCGGTTGTGTCTGTGTGTTTTCTTTGAATAGATCCTGCTCTTCCCAGTTACCCTTTCACTTAGAAGAAACGTTCCTCACCTATTAACCAAGAGATTTTGACTAATATTTCTAAAGTCTCCTCTGGTTTCTAAGTAACTTTACTCTTAAGATATTTCTTATTTTCAAATACATTAGAAATGAGATAATGAGGCAGTCTCTAAAGCGTCTCCTCAACTGAAATGTGGAAAACTAAGCTGGATGTTGGCAAAAACAGTATCTGCTTTTACTTCGTCACCTGAACTCTCAAGTTCAGGGTTGTCTGTAAAGTGCAAACATTATCAGCTCCAACTCTGAGGGCAATAAAGCAGTCTTAAGATGTCATTGAACCATTAGAAATTAATACTCAAGGTTCAGTTGCCCATTGGCTTTTCCTCTTCTAGGAATTTGTCTTGTAAGAGTTCCTGCCAAAATGGGCTAAAGATTACATTCATTTACTCATGCGTAGCTACTTTTTGAGCCCCATTATGTATAAGGCACTTTTCTACAGAAGTGAACCAGGCAGACAGATCTGTCTCCTACCCTGAGAAGCTTACATGTGAGTCAGAGGTGAACAGAATGGATGAGCAAACAGATTCATGCAGATGGTGGTTTCCGCATAGGCTAAGTACTGTGAGGGGAATAAAAAGTACATGTGACCACTAGCAAAAATAGTCGTTAGACCTTTGAAAAAGAAGGGGGACATTGGAAATAGTCTACATATTTACCAGTAGCGGATTTGTAAAAAATAAATTATGGTACATCCTTATTAAAGGACACTCTGTGGCTCTTAAGAAAAATGGTGTTGGTCTGTTTCATCTGTCTACAATGAATTACTGAGGGAGGAGAGCAAACAGCATAGTAATGTGTTAGGATCCCATTATGTAAAACGAACACACTGTGTATGCGTGTGTGTGTGTGTGTGTGTACGTGTAGAAGAAAATCTAGGAGTCAGCCTTATCATTGGCAATTTCCTCAGGCATATAGATGTTGGATGGTGTGAAGAGTTATTTCTTACTTTTTCTTTACACAGTTTCACATATTTTGCCTTTTTGTTTTCAAGCTGATATCACTTATAGTAAAAACATAGTTGGGAGGGAGGCACTGAATTAAAAATAAAATGTAGTACATACAAATGTTGATGATAATAGGTGTCAACAATGCACTGGTAAGTGCAAAAAGATAGATGTAGAATGGGTTTTTGTGTAATTCTCCTTTAGTGATGTCATACTTTATTCGCTTCATAGTTGTTGGAGGCCTAGTGTTTGCTAGGCTCCTATGGGTACTTGGAAGGCATCAATGACTAAGCATATTTAAATAAATAGAAACATGCAAATGTTAGATGGTAGAGAGCTCTATGATTAAATGGATGAATGAATGAAATATGTAGATGTTAAATGTCAGAAAGTCCTATGAGGAGGCAGAGTGCAGATAGGGGAGTGGAGTGTTGGGATGGGCACGGGAGGAGGTGGGTCCCTTCTAAATAGGCAGTCAGGGAGGGCTCATAGGTAAATTTGAGTCACTACTGGAGGAGGGCGAGGGCAGAGCCTTTCAGTTATCTGGGGGCAAGAGTGTCCCAGGCAGGGGGAACAGCAATGTGAGGCCCTAAAAGTGGGGAGTGTGTCTCATTTGGTTGAGGAAGACCAAGAAGCTCATGAAGCTGAGGATAGGAGGAACACAGATGAGTCACAGTAAAACGTGATCAGAGGAGGAGAGGAAGAGAAATGAGATCAGAGGGATGGGAACTCCCAGATCCTGTAGGACACGTCAAGGGCAAGCAATTGAAGGGTTTTCAGCAAGAGATTAACAAGCTCTGACTCATGTTTTCACAGCTTATGCACTGTAGCTAGACTAATGGGGGCAGGGAATGAAGGGCCTGGGTGAAGCAGAGGTACCACTTGGGAGGACTGCAATAATCCAGGTGAGAGATACTGATGGTTTCCATCAGGCAGCAGCAGGGATTTGAAATGGATGACTTCTGGAAGTATTTCAGAGAGAGCCAGCAGATTTTGATGATGGATTGAATATAGGTGTGAAAGAAATAGAGCTACAGAATTGATTCTAAGTTTCTGCCCTAAGCAACTGGAAAGATGGAGTTACAGTGAGGTGAGGAAGCCTGTGGGTGAAGCTTATTGAAAAAAGGAAGATCAGGGGCTGAGGTTTGGAGTGTCAGGGCTGCCCACTGGACCTTTCTATGGAGGACTTCCATATGACCTTCATAAGTCTCTACTAGTAGACTTATGAGTCTGGAGTTCCAGGGAGATGTTTGGGCTGCAAATACGATAGTCATCATTGTATATGTGGTATTCAAAACCATAATCCTAAATGAGGTTACCAGGAAGTGGATGTAGATCAAGGAGAGCCTCAAGATCTATTTCCTGGGTGCATCCCTAGGCCACGTGTGTGCTTATTCTTAGAACATAAAAATAATCAGCAAGGATATGTAACAAATTTTACAGTGGTGGTATCTGGCTGATTAGAGACTTTTATTTCATTTTATGTATTTCAGTAATGTTTGATTTTTTATGAATGTTATATACTTGGAAAAAGAAAACATGTCATGCTTCAGAGTTTTGGAAGAAGTTAGCTAGATCAGAGGTCCAAAAATTTCTTCTTCAGAGCCAGTGATTATACCTTACTATTTCTATTTTATAAAAGTCTGATGATAAGACTGTGTTATGCATAACTGATTTAATCATAGAAATAATCACTCAGCTAAAAAAAAATGTAATATTTATTGAGAAAGTAGTGAATAATACTATTTATTAAGTATGCAGAATGTTAGTGAGTCAAATATAAATATATATTAGATTTTGTATATGCAAAGTAAAATATTAATACCTTTAATCCAATTTATTAGACTTTAAGTTATTTGGAATTTATTTTCAGACTAGGTAAATTTAAAACATTTATTAAGTCATATGCCTACTATTTCACCCCCCTTCCCCCAAGAAGATGATTATTCATTTGAACATACAACTAGGTTTATAAAAGAAGAATGCTGTTAAGATGCATAGTATAGTTGAAGATGCTTGATTTCTAGGATTACTTTATTCATTATTGTAGCCGGTGGACATGTCTGCCTGTTGAGCATTTGAAATGTGCCTAATTCAAATTGTGATTTGCTGCAAGTATAAAATGCACACTGGATTTTGAAAAGTTAGTACAAATAAAAGGATGTTAAATATTTAATTTGTAAAGTTTTATATAGTCTACATGTTAATATTATAATGTTTTTGATATATTGAGTTTAATAAAAATATTAAAGTAGATTTCACTTCTTTCTTTTTACTCATTTAATGAGACTGCTAGAAAACTAAAAACTACATGTGAAACTTGCATTATGTTTCTGTTCGGTATTCCTGGGCTGGAGGAAGGGTTTTTGTATGGCCTGTAGACTGAGAATGTTTTTTTACATTTTTAAATGGTTTAAAATGTCCAAAGAATAATATTTTATGATATGTGAAAATTATATAAAATCCAAGTTTCAATATCCAGTGATTCTTGTTAGTAAACTTGCATCATCAAAAATCACATTCAGTTAATATTAGTACATTTTGAATTTTGTCAACACAAAATTTATGGAAATCTGTTTTGTCTTTTGCTGTGTAGGTACTTAATTATGTGCTTATTTTTGCTGTTTGGCCCACAGAGAGCTCACTATCTGGCCCTTTGCGGAAAACTTGCTGCCCTCCATCTGGAGGTTCAGGGTCGAGTACTGGCTATTCTCCACTCATTGTGTCAGGCTGTTCTCCACTTATCGTGTCCTCGTCAGCTCTCTGATATGACCTAGGTAGTTTTGTCATTTGTAACTGAGGATGGTAGCTCCAATTTCAGAGGTTACTAGGGTCAAATGAGAAATTATAATCTCAGGGCTTCATAAATGATACAAGTATCTGTACCAAGGTAGCATATCTTTTAAAAGGCTTTAACCTCAGTACCAAAAACAGGAAAGTAAATGGGAAATATAGATTCAGGTTTCCATTGTCCCAACCAAGCAGAGATAATACACACATGCCTTTAATGAGATGTGCTAAATGCGTATATGGCACCGTTACTAATAGCCCTTTCCTGTGCTCTTTTCTTGAAGTTGAACGAAGAAGAAGATTTAACATAAATGACCGCATTAAGGAACTAGGTACTTTGATTCCCAAGTCAAATGATCCGTGAGTACAATTGCATCATATATTTTTTCGTACCTTAATGTTTTTTCATATGTTGCAAAAAGTGTGCAGATAAAACTAAAGAAGTATCCCTTCTTCCTTTGGTTTCATTTATGCATACCACTTGCTCCTTTCTTTTGGTTGGTTCATCAAACTAAAATCTCAAGAGAAGTGAACTCAGTTCAAAAAGATTATTGGACGTGAGCTGTTCAACTTTGGAGGTGGGAAGGTGACTTCGTGAAATCTGAGAATCTTTGACAAACCCTGAACTACTAAAAAATTATTTTATCAGCTCATACTGGACAGAGATTTCAGTAGGTGATAAAGGAGGATTTGTTGGCTATTTATTTGCTTTTAAACTCATACAATATGGGCACTGAGAGCTGATATTGGAGATTTCAAGTTTAACAATCTTCAGTAGATAAAAGGTCAGTTTTTTCCCCCCCAAATTATATGCCCTTTGTTTGTTTTACCAATCAAGGGGAAAAAAAGAAATTTTTAATCTTCTTATAAGCACCGGTCAGCTAATTTGGATTTCAGCTTCCAGTCTCTAATGCGCTCTTTCAGAGATAACGGTTGTAAAGATAATTTTCCTACCAGCCATGTCAGCAAATAGGACAACAAATACACAATTTTTATCCATTAGAAATTGGCCCATTTGAAGTAAAGGGCTCAAAGATGTATACATTTTAATGGCTCCCACAGGCATTCTATGAAATTAGCCTCTGAATATGACCTTTTAGCTACCTAATAAAATGTAAAGATGAAATCAAGCATTATTCATGCAAGGCTTATTAAATTTGCTATTCACATTATTGTCAGAGAATTTGTGACAAAATAAAACCATTGCCCATTCTAAGGTGGTTTTGATGAATGTTCAAGCAAAGTCTCCGTCATCAACATTTCGCTTTCCCAGGTTTCAAGGAAAGCCGTTTTGAAACTCAAAACATTCAAATTCTCAGTTCTGCAGCACAAATGCATCCTATGAAGGGGCTGTGACCTTCATTTCCTATAGTCAGTCTTGCATGATAGTTGAAATTGAATTCCCATTTTCCTGTTCTTTATCAGCTTTCACTTTTTAGCATATTCTTTTAAACTGCAGCACATGGATCTCTTTAGCAACATATTATGAAATTATGGGGCTGCAGTGAAAGCCTCTATTTGCATATCTTCTTTATTGTATTAGAATACTTATGTGTTTATAATCTGAACTGATAACAATCTTTAATTGTAGGCATTGTTTTAAGATACAGCAGACCGCATCTGTTCTGTCCTATGCCAGGTTTCTGGCACAGACCTTGGGGCTGCTATAGAGACATAGTCAAGCTGATCACAGTCTCAGCCCCACACCCTCTCCTACCCTAGACTAGGTCTGCCTTTAGTGACTTATGTATTGGGGATCTGTTTACACTTCTGTGTGAAAAAAAAAATTGCTCTCATTGCAAAAAAAACAACATTGAAAACCCCAAAGCATAATTAATTAATTGGGTCTCACAAGGAAGTGAAACCCAAGGTAAGTGATTTTAATGCTGTGCTTAATCACTCAGTTGTTCCGACTCTTTGTGACACCATGGACTGTAGCCTGCCAGGCTCCTCTGTCCGTAGGGATTCTCCAGGCAAGAATACTGGATTAGGTTGCCATGCCCCCCTCTAGGAGATCTTCCCAACCCAGGGATCGAACCCACATCTCCTGCATTGCAGGCAGATTCTTTACCATCTGAGCCACCAAGGAAGCCCAAGTGATTAGAATCATCACCTCTTAAACCCAGAGTATCTGCTTTCATGTTTAATTACGGGTTTCTCACCTTGTTGGCCTAGTGAAGGCATCTTTCATCGTGATTTGATTTCTCTCTGGCTGCTGAGGCAGGTCTGTTGTTTTCCTTGTAGCCCTGAGCAGCTTGGCTCTGTGCTCACTCTTAGCATCTCAGGACACCTCCCTGGGTTGCCATTTTTGGTGCCCAGACCCCAGGGATCAACCCCAGGGGGTTCTCCAGGGGCTGTAACTCAGCATCTCGTGGGAGAGCTTCTGTTTTGTTCTCCATCTAACCCATGTGAGGATCAATTACTTGGTGGCTTGTTTTAATGTTCCTCCATTCACATATCCCAGCTGATGCTTCTGATCTTTTAGCAGCTATAGATTACGAGGTGTCCCTCATAGCTCAGTCAATAAAGATTCTGCCTGCAATGCAGGATACCTGGGTTTGATTGCTGGGTCAGGAAGATCCTCTGGAGAAGGAAATGGCAACCCACTCCAGTATTCTCACCTGGAGAATCGCATGGACAAAGAGCCTGGCAGGCTACAGTCCATGGGATTGCAAGAGTCGGACATGACTTAGCAACTAAACCACCACCATTCACATGTCCCAGCTGATACTTCCAATCTGCTTTTAGCAGCTGTAGATTATGGCATAGGAGGTTTTCCATACATAAAATTGTTTTTGGTTTTACCATTGTCATTATTAGCGTGGATATTTTCTATAAAAGAGCTCAGGTTAATTTAAAGCACTATAGAAATATTACTATGTAGTTATAATTTTATTCTTAATGATTTTTCTGGGGTGCTGTAAGTTTTTCAACTCACTTTTACCTACATCTTCCCGGGTAGCTCAGTTGGTAAGAATCCGCCTATAGTGCAGGAGATGGGTTCTATCCCTGGGTCGGGAATATCCCCTGGAGAAGGAAATGGCAACCTACTCTAGTATTCTTGCCTAGAAAATTCCATGGACAGAGGAACCTGGCAGGCTACAGTCCAAGGGGTCGCAAAAGTCAGACATGATTTAGCTACTAAACCACCACCTTACCTACACCTTAATGGCATTTTTAACATTCTCATATAGGAATGCATTAGAGCTATAGTGTTTAAAAACCAAAAGGCAGCAAGCTCAGGCTGCCTGCGTTTGAATTAGAAAACCTGTTAGATGTGTGACTTGGGGAGGAAATTCTCCCGAAGTATTCTATTTCTATCTAGTCTAGTTGTTTTGAGGACTCAGTCTCTTGAGAGGAAGGTGGTTTAGGGCATGGAGTCTGGCGCCAGATGCTCCAGGCTTCCTGGCTCGACCATTTCCTAGCTGTATACTTAGAGCAAATTACTTAACCTGTTTGTGCCTTTGTTTTCCAGTCTATAAAATGGGGATAATATTAGTGTCTACCAATTAAGGTTGTTATGATTAAATGAGCAGAAAACCACTTTAAAAAGTACCTGTCAGTCAGTAAATGTTATTTAAAGGTAGCTGTGGTAATTACAATGTTGAATCCTAGCACAGAGCCTGCTGCATTGTTGGAACTCTATTCTAGACTTTTCTCAGCATACTCGTATACAGCGTCTATTTTGATTCTAGCAACATACCTATGGGGCTGCTCACCAAAGCATAGCATCACCATTTTATTGATGAGGACATGGAGACTGAGAGAATTTATAACCAGCCTATGAATATTCGTGATAAAACCCAAGGATGCCACTTTTATGATGCATATAATTAAGTAGTGGGATCTCGTAGAATTTTTTTTAACTGTATATTACTCTGTTTTAATTTTATAATCCTAGAAAGCTATAACCATTGAATATAGTCTTTAAGAATATTGACATTGTCATCAGCAGACCTAAGTTTAAGTTCTGACTCTGCCTTCACGTAACTCTGGGACGGAAGGCTATTTGAATTGTCTCTGATTCAGCACATGCACAGTGGTCCTCCTTCGCCAGGCGCCTGTCTGGTTGAAGTAAGATGAGGTAGAAGATGGGAGTAGACTGTGTCCAGCACGTGACTAGCACTTGGTCCTTGATAGTGATTCTCAACTTCTAATTGTTATTTCATCTTGAGAAACTGAATGCTCTGAATATTGAATTTTCATGGAGCATCCAACACTGAAACTCTCTGTTACCTTCCATTTTCTTTCCAGAGACATGCGCTGGAACAAGGGAACCATTTTAAAAGCATCCGTGGACTATATCCGAAAGTTGCAACGGGAACAGCAACGTGCCAAAGAGCTTGAAAACAGACAAAAGAAGCTGGAACACGCCAACCGGCACTTGTTACTCAGAATACAGGTACCAGGCGTGTGCAGGGTGAAGGTGACTTGAAGATGGCGAAGATGGGGTATAATGAGCCGTAGGGACTTGACTTAACGTGATCCTCATACAGTCTGTACTCATTGTTTGTGGATTCTATTTTGTGTTTTTGCTTCCGTGCAAAAAAGTTATTTGAAGCCCCAGATACGACTCTTGTGGCACTTACGTGCTCATTCACAGATGGGCAGAGTGGCAAATGTGACTTAGCTGTTGTGTTTATTCTGAGTTAAGGTTGAACAATGCTCTGTCTTCTTCTTTGAGCTCATATGATAAACAGGCGTCCTTTTTGCTGTGTTTTCAGTGTCATGGTGTTCACATTTTGTGGGGTTTTGGGGTGATTCGCTCTTTAAGGTGGCCTGTGAGCATGGGCCTGAAGTCCTTTCTCATCTTTCTGAGCATAGCAAGGCTGTGATGTGCTTTAGGGAGATTTATTTCATTCAGGCATGAGTTGTGGTCCTGTTGGCCTTGGGTTTAATATTAATGAGTCAGTGATGTGTTGTAAACAAGTTGTCTTTAAACAGAGACACATAAAACAAAGTTACATGTTGATTAGTTGGTGAAATGTTGTGCCCAGATGCTTTATCATAGTTGTTTAGTTGATAAGTCGCGTCTGACTCTTTTTGCGACCCTATGGACTGTAGCCTGTCAGGCTCCTCTGTCTAAGAGGACAGGCTCCTCTGCCATTTCCGACACCAGCAGATCTTCCAGATCCAGGATTCAAACCTTGGCAGGCGGATTCTTTACCTCTGAACCACTGGGGGAGCTCATGTTCAGATGCTTGCAGGAAAGTAATCCTCTGTTTTCACCAGGAGCAGTGGTTCAGCATTCACTAATTCAGTGTTCATAGCAACTCTGGAGCACATAACTGTCTGACCAATCATGCTCATGTGATGAAAAGCACCATAGACAGAGAGGTTTACACATCATTTATTTTTCACAGTTCTAGAGGCTGGGAAATCTGATGCTGGCCGTTTCATCGTGGGATTGAGGTCCTGCTTCTTAGTTCATAGATAGCTGCCTTCTTGGTATAACTTCACACTACAAAAGGATTGCAGGATCTCTCTGGGGTCTTTTATAAGGGCCTCATCCCATTCGTGAAGGGCCCCTGCTTGTGACCTAATCACCTCCCAGAACCCTATCTCCAAATACCATCCTATTGGGAATTGTTTCACCATATGAATTTGGCAGGGGAGGCACAGATTTTAGTCCATAGCTATAACTATTGCAAATCATGACAACTCACAGTAGTTGTTAAGTACAAAAGTGTCTTCGTATTGAAGGAGGTGCAGTCTGTGGTCAAAGCTCATGTTTATAGGGAACCTGGGGATACCTTGAAAATTTTATCATCAGTATATAAATTTCAGAAATTGTTCCAGATAATGAAGTTTCCCATATATATATTTAACTTACTCTTAAAGGGAGAAAAGTGATTTTCATAATACATGGGCTTCTTATGTCATTCCATTGAGGGAGTATACATACCAGTGTAAGCACGAGATGAGGGACCCCTTTCATATCAGCTTCTGGTGGTTCTTTGTTGCTTGGCTTTTCATGCTAAATATAAAGATGCAACTTCCTTTCAAACTGTCTTGGAGAAAGAAAAACTTACTTTTTGCTTATGATTAAAGGAGTTGGCAAGAGTGATTTTTACTTTACTTGCTTACTTTGAACACAACCAACCAATAAGAGTGAATGACATTTTATCTTCTTCTTGAGTAGATGGACTTATTTGTACCCAGTTTTGCCACATATCAATGGTTTCTTTTTTTTTTTTTCATGTTTCTAGTGCAAATATTGTGGAATAGCAATGCAGAACATGGCACTTTAAAGGCTATCTAGTAGTGTTTATACCCCAATATTAAATTTACTTAACAGAGCAGATTGATTACTTATGATCTCTGATCTCGTTAATGCCCCACAACACTTTCAACATTTCTAGATGTCACATCTCTCGTTTCACTGCAGTGATCCTCAGTCCCAGATCAGAGAGGCAGAAGATGGTTTTCTTCTTTGGAGAACATTTTAGAATCTTGGTAGTGAAACTGAGGTTATGTGTCATTTGGAAATCCCCTTCTCACCCTCTTTCCTTTTTTGGCTTTTGCTGCTTACTTTATGTTCCATCTCTTCAGTAATTAGCCACAGGTCTTTAGTCTCTTACACTTCATATATATACCCATTTTTAAAAGCAACTCATACTAATGTGTTATTTCTTTATACAAGTATTCACTTCAGTTCAGTTACTAAGTCGTGTCCGACTCTTTGTGATCCCATGGACTGCAGCATGCCAGGCCTCCCTGTTCATCACCAGAGTTTCCTGGAGTTTACTCAAACTCATGTCCATTGAGTCAGTGATGCCATCCAACCATCTCATCCTCTGTCATCCCCTTCTCCTTCTGCCTTCAATCTTTCCCAGCATCAGGGTCTTTTCCAATGAGTCAGTTCTTTGCATCAGGTGGCCAAAGTACTGGAGTTTCAATTTCAGTATCAGTCCTTCCAATGAATATTCAAGACTGATTTCCTTTGGGATAGACTGGTTGGATCTCCTTGCAGTCCAAGGGACTCTCAAGAGTCTTCTCCAACACCACAGTTCAAGAGCATCAATTCTTCGGCGCTCATCTTTCTTTATAATCCAACTCTCACATCCATACATGACTACTGGAAAAACCATAGCTTTGACTAGATGGACTGTTGTTGGCAAAGTAATGTCTCTGCTTTTCAATATGCTGTCTAGGTTGGTCATTACTTTTCTTCCAAGATCATTACTTTTCTTACTTTTTGTCTTGTAATTTCATGGCTGCAGTCACCATCTGCATCTCGATACAAATATTAGCATATAATAACTATTCTGAAAAAGAGGCTAGGTTTAACAAATCAATGATTTTATTGTAAACAAGGTGTCTTTAAACAGAAACACATATAAAACAAAGTTACATGTTGATTGGTTGGTGAAATGTTGTGCCCAGATGCTTTATTGTGGTTGTTTAGTCGCTTAGGTTCCAAATATATCCATTCATGTAAAATACAAATACTGTGAAAAGTATGAATTGTAAATTGCATGGTGTCTATGTCTTGGGTTACTTCCAGTGCCAGTGAAGCAGCCTTTAGGACTTTTGTGTATCATGGAAAGCATTATTAATTAGGAAAGCTCTGTCATGCAGTGAACCTGAATTTTCTAGATGAGACTTGTCACACTATTTAACAATCTAAGTAAAAGTTTAATTGGCTGGTAAACATTTTAAATTAAATAACAAAAGATTAGAATAAGATGTGTGCCTCTATTCATTCAACTTTTTTTTTTAAGACATACTACAAGTGTGGGGGCACTGCTTTTATCATGTGGGTGTAGATTTACAGTAGTGCATGTGTTCAGCTTGAGCCTAAGGGATTCCTTTCATTTTCACCCTAAGTGATGCATGCAAAAATGTTCACAGAAGAAAGACCATGAATCCTTAATATCACTGGGACTGGAATTTTATTATTAAACAGCCCATGGTTTTAGAATGATGCCCAGGGACACTTGTGTGTCTGGAAATCACGTGGAGGGACATACAGATACTGTTGTGACATCTCAGACTCCTGTCTCTCACTTGTACTGAATCTAGAGGATGCCCTTGCAGATCAGACAGCCTTTCATACAGGCTGAACATGACATGTGTTTCTAGGCTTGTGGGCAAAGGTTGAGAGGTTTGACTTTTTGTGTCCTTTGCCTTCTCCCCTGATGCAAGGTGACTTGCTTCAGATATTTATTCTATTTATTGCATCATGAAACATAGGAAGATAGCATTGGCACATAGGAGCAAAATGCTCTTTGGGGTCAATTGTTGTCTATATGGCTCGTTTTATGGGGGATCTAAGGATACTCTTGTATCTTGGGCTTCCCTTGTGGCTCAGCTGGTAAAGAATCAGCCTGCCATGTGGGAGACCTGGATTCAGTTCCTGGGTTGGGAAGGTCCCCTGGAGAGGGGAAAGGCTACTCACTCCAGTATTCTGGCCTGGAGAATCCCATGGGGTCGCAAAGAGTCAGACACGACTGAGCGACTTTCACTTAAGGATACTCAGAAAGGGAGACAGGAAGGAGCTTGTTTGAAAGGCTTTTCCTATTTGTGTCTCTGTGTCCTTGCAGCTCCTCATGCATATTAGATGAGGACCCACCCTGAAGATCTCATTTTAACTTAATCACCTCTTTAAAGACACTGTTTCCACATACTGTCACACCTGAGTTAGTGGAGGTTAGGATTTCAGCATATGACTTGAGGGTTGTTTTTTAGTCACTGAATCATGTCCGACTCTTTTTCGACTTCATGGACTATGACCCTCTGAGCCCACCAGACTCCTCTCTCCATTGGATTTTCCAGGCAGGAATACTGCAGTGGGTTGCCATTTTCTTCTCCAGTCATTTTGGGGAGGGGACACAATCAGTCTATAATAGGAAGGATGTGACAAAGTTGTAGGAAGAGATTGTTCCTCTTACACATAAGAACTTTCTTGTGGAATTAAAACAAAATAACTCCCTTTGCCTTGATGAGATGGGTTAAATGATGTGACTTTAGTTACTTGTATGGAACTGTCATACCTTTTGCTATTATTATCCAATCTTTATTTGTTCTCAGTGCCCTTAGTATCATAGTAACCTTTTCATTGCACCTTAAGCCAAAGAAATACCTACCATTGTTAGGTCTTAACAATTTAGTAACCATTTGAGAAGATAAAATGTATAAATTGAAAGAAAAATCATATTTTCATTTTATTTTTAAATAACCATGTTACAACCAGTGAGATGTGTGTGCCTGTTGGGGCACGGCTTCTCCAGCCTTGGAGTCATTTTGGACACTGTCACCCCCTTTCCCATTCTACATTAATTTTCATGCAGGACTTGGTTTTTTTATTTGCTTGTTTTCCTTTTTAGTCACAGTAACCATCTGAGACCTGGCTCTGTGTTGATGTGATATGAGGGAAATAATGTAGCACAATCTAATACTGGACCTATAAAACTATATCGAGTTTGATCATTCTCACCGTAAGATGCATTTCCCTTGAAACTTTAAAATAGTCCCAATATCCTGGGAGTTTATTGTAGTACCCACGGATATCTCTGTACGGTTTAGGGACCGTGGGACTATATTATTTACTGAATATTTTCCTTTAATCAGCTCACATTTTGTTTTTATATTTTTTGACTTATCTTCATTGTGAACATTAACGTGTATGAGAGACTGTCCCTAATATATAATAAAATCCATATACCACCTTAAAAATCATTTCATATGTTACCAGTGATACTCTGTACTTTAAAAGAATGTGACACTTATTAATTTGAAATAGGAAAAAAATGTTTAACAATTTATTGTCTTCCAAGTATATGATTTAAAAAAAAAAAACTTTACTTTTTATGGCAATTTTAGGTTCAGAGCAAAATGGGCCTGAAGTTGTAGAGAGTTCCTATATACCTCATACTCCTACATGTATATAGCCTCCCCTGATATTAATACCCTCCACCAGAGTGAGACATTCTAACAGTGGATGAATCTACACTGACACAGAATTATCACTACTTGACCTAAGGGTTGACTGTTAGCAATGCACATCCTTTGAGTTTGGACAAATGCATAGTGACAGCTAGCCATCATTGTAATATCATGTTCAATAGTCACGGTCCTGAAATCCCCTGTGTTCCACCTTGTCAAGTGTCTGATTTCTGTTTTCCTTTTAGGAACTTGAAATGCAGGCTCGAGCTCACGGACTTTCCCTTGTCCCATCCACGGGTCTCTGCTCTCCAGATCTGGTGAGTCGGCTCATCAAACAGGAACCCGCTCTTGAGAACTGCAACCAAGACCTCCTCCAGCATCATGCAGACCTCACGTGCACAACCACCCTGGATCTCACGGACGGCACCATCAGCTTCAGCAACAGCCTCGGAGCTGGGACCGAGAGCAGCCAAGCCTACAGCGTCCCCACGAAAATGGGGTCCAAACTGGAAGACATCCTCATGGATGATACCCTTTCTCCTGTTGGCATAACTGATCCACTTCTTTCCTCGGTGTCCCCCGGAGCATCCAAAACCAGCAGCCGAAGGAGCAGCATGAGCATGGAGGAAACTGAGCACGCTTGCTAGCAAATTCTCCCCGCTCTGCTTTCTCACAAACTGCTTCCTTTCTTGATCAGCAGATTTAATAATTTACCTGAAAGGGGTTTTTCTTGATCATTTTCTTTTAATATGAAAAAAAAAATTTTTTTTTCATGCTTTATCAATAGCCCAGGATATATTTTATTTTTAGAATTTTGTGAAACAGACTTGTATATTCTATTTTACAACTACAGATGCCTCCAAAGTATTGTACGGTAGTGTACAGTATCTGTGAACTGACTACACCCAGACTTTAGCTTTCAGAGCAAGAGGATTTTTGTGTCAGAAAAATTTCTGTCCGTTTTTATTCAGGGGAAACTTGGTTTGCTATCTGTATGCCTGCAACTTCCTTGGAAATGAAATGTAAAGTTTGATTGAAAGAATGTAGAGCAACCAAAAAAGAGAGAGAGAAAAAGGGAGAGAGAGAGAGAGGAGAGGGGTGGGGAAGAAAAAGAAGGAAAAAGGAATCGGTACTAACCTTTTTCCATTTTGTAAATGTATTGTTTCATTGGTACTGCCTTAAAGATACAGTACCCTTTTAGCATCATTTAGTCTTTATACTGCAAATTCTTTAAAAAAATACTGTATTCTGTAAAAGAAAAAAAAAAAATGCAGCCATTTTCATGTGGATTGTCTGGTTAGAAAACAACCAATACCTTAGGTGCAACTGAACTGAAAGGAGATGTAGACCAAGGCTCTGAAACATGGAGTCTCACCTTCCTCTTCACTCTGTGCTCTGTTACAGGTTTCCTCATCAATGAATGTGATTCAGTTTTTCATGAGATAGATTTTATTTTGAAATGGACATTAATGTCCTCTCAAAGCAAAATATTGAGGAGCACTGAAAGTTGTTTTGTTTTCTCAATTTCACTTTTGATAAGAAAACCAAACTGGGCACATTTCTAATTGGCTCTACTCTTTTTATTTTTAAATTATGTTTTACTGTTCATTTGATTTGTACAGATTCTTTATTATCATTGTTATTTTCATTATGTTTGTATTAATTTGTAAGAAAATGCATCTTAAAATTGCAAGTTTTCAATATTTTTACAACTCACTAGTGGTTTTCCGCATTCTTTGTACACACACGAAAGAAAACTTTTATGCAAGGTCTTGCATTTAAAGAGAGCTTTGTGAATATTTTGTATATTACAGTCTCACTCAGAACTGTTTTTCCACACATTTAAGGTGTAGCATAAATAGGCTAAAACTGGCTTTCAAAAGAGAAACAACTTACATATTTATTTTTAGTGATATAAAACTAGCAATATTCTTGGAGAATGATAACCATAGCGTTAATATGCCTGTTATGGTCATTTAAATTGGGGTTTATTTCAGCAAACCTGAATGTTTTTTAAAGAGAGAAATACTGTATTGGCCAATTACTGTTACTTGATAACAATGTTTTAACAAACAGCAATGTTGTAAAGTTAGTTTCAGTGCATTATCTACTTGTATAGTCCTATGCAATAACAGTAGTGTCACATATATTCTATCAGGCCTAGATGTTTTATACAGATGACATATGGTGTTAAGAGGCAGGCTGTTGAATGGAATTTCTCAGTAGCAGCCTACGATTGAATAGCAAGTGGCATAAAGCATATCCATTCAGAATGAAGTGCCTTAAATATAGCAGTAGTCTCTAGCACTGACTGAACTGTAATGTAGGAGAAAGTTTCAAGATGGTATCTATAATCAAGAGGGACGTGTAGCATGGTGCCTATGTAGACAATAGAAGAGCTTCCAGTTTTCCTTCAGATATTTTTAATATGAAATAAATTTTAGTGACAGAGTGCCAACTTCTTTCATCAGGAAACCTTATTCAGGAGGGTTTTTTTTGTTTCTGTTTTTGTTTTAAGAAAAACAGTTTAAATGTCAAATGTGAATTGGTGATGGGTATTGGAGGGTTCAGGGGGAAGGAGTGATTGTCAGATATATGAATGGATGGCTTATATGAAAATAATCAACTGCATAGTTCCCATGCACGTTGGGCAATGAGAATCCTTGGAAACATTGATGATGCTATCAGTTTTATAGCTTTATGACTTAAGGGGGTAGGGAAAATTAGTTCCCATTCTTTCAACCCCTCTTAATTGTATAGCTCTTTTCCTAGAATAGTGATGCAAATCTGCATGAACAGCTAATTGTACCATAGTGTTCATTGATACAATCATAGCATTGTCTATTTTTTCTCTTCATATTTATATGGGGGGAGGGGAGCTGGGTGCAAAAGTCAAAGATTGCAATGGTATGATGCTAGTTTTCCTTAGCTGATCGTGAGAGTTCTTAAAAATAGAACAAGGTTGACTCACCCATGGCCCAGGGAATTTGGCCAGGGTTAAGCCAACTTATAGAAAGCTTTGTTGAAAGAAAGCACGGCATGTTGCACCACTGCCCTGACACTCGCAGCTCCCGAGCTCACCATCGCCTGCTTCTCCATCCCCTTCTTAACAGACAGTTTCTGGGAGGGAACAGGTGAGCAAGCTCAGGGGAATGCTGCAACCTCGGGGGTGGTTTTATTTATTTCTTTTTTGCCAAATAGAGTGCGCATATGTTTTAGGGACTAGCTAAGCCAAGAGGTAGTGGTTTGGGCTCACTGTTTGTGACAAGGAGAATGGTCCACACCACTCCCCCCATCCCTGAGTGCACAATTGTGACTTGGGGTTGGGCCTCCGTATGGAGTAACCAAAATGCCAAACTTGTACACCTGCCTCTGAGTATGGCAATGGAAATACCAAACCTTCTGACTTTGCCAAAAAACCATACAACCAACCTGGTCATACATAGGATGACAGAGTTCTTTCTGGTTGTTTTAAAATATTAAAGCAATAAGAACAAATAAAATACATAGGAAGCTAAAAGATATAAAATAAAGCACAAAGGAATGCACTTATTAATATTTTTAAAAAATGCACTGGGGAAAGTTGATGTTGATAACAGTATATTAAAAAAAACCCTATTTCTTGAAAAAATAAATGACAAATGACTGTCTCTTGCGGACGCTTGGTACTGTAATGTTAATACTAGTCACCTGCTGTTGGATGCAGCAATAATTTCTGTATGGTCCATAGCACTGTATATTATGGATCAATATTAATGTATCCAATGAAATAATTGAACTGTTGTTCTTGATAGCCTCATTAAAGCATTTGGTTTTTCACATAGTGGTGGCCAGTTGTGTTTGGTTAATGCCAATTTTGAATATTGTTTGCCTTATCAAAAAAATAGTGCACAATTGCTTCTGACTTAATGAATAACAAATTGCATGAAAAATTTTAAAATGCCGGTAAGCACTTTTTTTTTTAAATTTTAAATATCACCCTCTAAGATACTACTTTTTGATTACTTTATGACTTGGACTTAGATGAACTGTAATTATCCAGTTTTTTCCCCACTCTGAATTTGGGGAGTTTTTAAAGTTCCAAATGCCATGAATTCATTTAGATATAGGAGCTTATTTTTAATGTTTCAGTGAAAGGTGGCTTTACAAAGAGAGAAATTGTCAGAGAAACTCTTGCATATTTACAAAAAAGGTATTGGGTTTTTAGAATACAAATTTGTGATAATGAAAGCTTGGTATACCCAGGTTGTCAGCTCCTGGCTGGCTTTTTTTTTTTTTTAAGTACTTAATAATCACTTGATAAATGTTGAATTTGAATTGGAAAGTGTCAGACAAAACATGTCTCTATTCCCTAGCTAGACCTTAAACTTCTGCCCTTTTAAAAAAATCATCTGGTTTAACCTCTGGAGAAAATGAGCAAGAAACTTCCCATAATGTTTCTAATTTGATTGTCAGCTTTTTCTTAAGCTTGATTTTTTTTCCCCCTTAAATTGTAATATACAATAATTGAGCCTTTTCTTTTTCAGAGTTAGTTGAATCATTTATATTTTCCATAGACATGTGATTGTGTGATGTCTTTAAAAATGCATAAAGTAGGAAGATTTCCTATCTGAACAAGAGAATTTCCTGGACCACAATGAAAGCAGGTAAGTTGAAAGTTGGGGCTTTTCACCTCAGAGAGTCTGTACCCAGACTTTAACCCAAATTTCTGACCTGTTCGTACACACTCAGTTCACAATCTATAAGGATCCTCAGTCTCTAGCTCTGCGCACCCCTCCCCATCCCAAATTGTTATCTTAACATCAGACATTTGCCTACAGCTTGTGTGATTGTACTTCATACCCAAAGACTTACCTTTCTTAAATCTTTATTAAGCAAACCCACTTAAAAAGCAAACGGATTGATCCATGAAATGGCAAAGCATAGACTTCAGGTAAATTTACTCATTTTGAATCTCTGCCTGTTTCCAGCTGTGTGATTTTGAGCAATTTACTTAGCTTCTCTGTGCCTCCATTTTCTTTCTGTTCATTGGAAATAATAAAAGCAGCTACCACAAAGTAGTCTTGTGAAGAGTATTCAAATCATTGAGCTAGAATTTTTGCTTGGCAGCACATGGTAAATATTCAATATGTATAGCTATTTGTATTTTATCATCATAACCACTTTCATTATTAAAATATAAGAATACTCCTGGGTCACCTAAAATCATCATATGTGTCAACAGCAGCATGCACATTTTGAGAAATGCTGTATTTTAGTATATGGCTGATGTTTGTGTGAATTGGCAAGGTGACGGAACCCACAGGCTACTTTGGAGAAGAGGACATTATTGTCTCTAGGATCCAGGATTAAAATGTTTTAGAGCACTAGCAATAAATCCAATTTACTACATTGTAACAACATCTTCAGCACAAATGACCTAAAATTTAACTTGTCTTAAACCTTTCTGCTCTGCACATATGCCTCTGCTGTGAGAAATGCTATTTCCAGAAAATCTACCTTGCTGAAACTGGAATCTCTATTGTATTCCTTAGAGAATTATTTTTTTAATCCTTTATGATACACACAGGTGTCATGTATCTAAGGAGAGGTATCTTGTCTATAATCCTATCTGTTCACTTGTCTATCAGTATGTAAATGTTTTTCA